CGCCAAAAAAAAAAATTTAAAAATTTTGGGCGCTCTGTTACAAATTGATTAAAGCACCGAGAGCGTATCAAAGCTTAACAAACCGTAACAAAGCTGTTAGGCCGGGGCAACTGAAATTTTGGAATATCTATTCAGTAAAACATTTGTTAAAAATACTTTCAGGGTAGAAAATCGAATGGTTTTTCATTTTAAATGCTGAATGTCTCGCTTGTATTGTTAAAATTAGCGAAACGTAGCTTTAAAGTAATATTGACCACCTCACTGACCACCTGTGTTATAACAATAAGAGCATCGTTAAAAATTATTGAATTTGAAACCATTAACTTTAAATTAAATCATGTTTTGTCGAGTGGTCAATTTTAGCAACTTTTATCATCTCTGAAAATTGCAATCGGATGGATTTTGCAGACTTTATAGAGAATAGAAAAAATACAGATTTATTTACTTAATCGAGTTTTCTTTTGTTCCAAGCCTCGAAAATAGTCTTTCAGAAAAATATGGGGTTAACATGTAAACCTCATCATTAGTCACTGCTCTCACTGCTTCTATAAAAGACAATCTGATGAGTATCAGAATAGTTGCCTGTGACACAGGAGCCAAAAACAAACATAATACCATTGTATTATCAAATTAATCAGGTAAAGTTACTGATGTGTGAAGTCACTGAGTCATGATAAGATACTCAAACTTCGCACTTAAGGCCACTCAATGTTGAATAAAACACTCAGTTTTAATTCTATAAATAAGGTACATCATACATTTAATGCTGTCAGAATGGCCATATGTCAGTTAATAGAAATAAGACCTCTTAACAACAAATATTTACAAAAATTTGAATCCATGAAGGCGTGGTCAAAACAACAATGCATAACATTTGGTTAAATATATACTGAACAGTCACGCTTAATTAATAAAAAATAAGTCCAGTCAAAACTATATACAAACATTGAATCTGAGAAATATTGGTCAAGCTTATTCTCAAAACCTCAGAATATCTAAACATATGTACTTTCACAATATTCATGTACAGTATATAGTGGCTTTGAATGATAAATGTTTTAGGTATATGTTTTAGGTATACGCTATGTTCTATAATATGTAATATTTTGAGTAAAAATTAATCAACTGTCTTCAAATTTACACAGAAGGTGTAACATATGCCCTAAATTATGTGTGAAAAGTTTCAATAAGTTTACTTGCCATTTACAAAAGTAATTTAAGGGTTTTCTCAATAGAAAATACTTTTGATACAGATTATTATTATTATTATTATGTTTATTTTATCCATCAATTTCTGATGAGTACATTTACATACATTTTATATGATGAACATTTGTACATGTGTATAGTTAGGTGTTAAGTATAAAGTATAAAAATAATTACACGTTATTTACATATTGCAATGCCTATTACACGAATAGACTTATTTAGAATGACAAGATATAAATTAAGTGATGCATTCAGTGGTAAATAATATCTTAGGAGATATCTCTCTTGTGATACATCATAAAAATTGACCTTGCCACAGCGATCAGAGATACATCGTCTAGGATTTGACCCTCATCGAATATAAACCTCAGTTTATTTTCGTCGTTCATTGTATTGCATCCATATTCGTCTACTATATCAACAATTGGCTTTCTCTCCTCATTCAACTTTTCACATTTAAGTACCATGTGTATTAATGTTTCCTCATCAATATTGCATAATTTACACGTTCTGTCATTCTCGTTTGACCATTGTGCCTTATTCACTTGCAAGTTTCCTTCTCCCACTAATAGTGTCATCACAATACGAACATATTTTACTATTTTCGGATACCTCTTACTCACACACCACCATGATATCGGTTTGATAAACATGACAACGTCTGCATATACATTCAACTTTCTATATGTTAACATTTCCAAATGCCAGGAATTTAACTGGTGATCCCCATAAGGCATCTTTGACAGTCTTTTTCCATGACGATTTGCTTGGAATAAGAGCTGTTTTTACCATAGACATTACATCTGGCAATAATCCATATTTGTTACACGTGTAAACAATGTCTCTTATCGGTGACTGTGCATGAAGATTTTTAGAGATGATTTCAATTAAACGCTGGATTGTTAAGCGTTTGTAAATGCTACTTATTGGAAGAACAAGCAATTGCCATATAAACATTAACTTCATTTGGTCAATGATGTACGATATCTCGCTCCATCCAAGCTGTGGTAAAACTGCAGGATTACTTGTATTTATCGGGAGTCCTTGGATCTTCTTTGCAATTACCTTGTGCCCGTGGCTCAATTTTGTGTAATCACTTTCCTTCAGTGGTATAATTTCAAGTCCGTACAACATAGATGGCATTGCAACGGTCCAATAAAGTTTCGAGATTGTCAGTGGGTTAGATGGATTGATATGACTCGATGTCACCCCAACGTAGGAGTTAATCACCCTTCTACCTTTACCAATTCTGTTCTCTATGAAATTAGTATAGTTACCATTAGGTATAAGAGGGAGCCCTAGGTGTTCTAGCTGATCTACAACTGGAATATCTACGCCACCTATCGATAGTTCACATTTCTGGGTCGATCTCCCCTTACTGAATATTACTGATTTACATTTATGGGGGTGATACGTAAAACGCCATTTTAGACTGTATTGGTACACTGCATTTAAGAGCTGTTGCATGACTGGCACATGGTATGCAATTAGCATGGTGTCATCTGCATACGTCGGTATTGTAGTATTTAGTCCATTTATAGATGAGCCAACACCACTCTCACATATTTCTTGTATCAGTCCATTCGTATACTTGGCGTACAGCTCCATGCTGTAGACCCCGCCCTGATGAACAGATTGTTCTACATTAAAGGACTCTGAAAGGTCATTGCACCCTTGGACACGCACAGTGCAGTTATAATCATCATACGCATTCCTCAATAGCCTCCAAAGTTTCCCTCGGATACCTTGCTCATGCATCTTATATAATAGACCCTTGTGGTACACCCCATCAAATGCTTTCCTGATGTCGAGTGCTACTATTATGACGTCATTTCCTCTTTCGAGCCCTGTGGCTATTGCCTCTCTTGCCAGAAATGACGTATGCAGACTGGAGACGTTTTTTCTACTAACACCTTGTAATTCGTGTTTTTCATCATGATATCCAAGTTCCTGACATTCTCGATCCCTTTTGGCCATTAATCCTTCGAGTAACTTCATATATGTACACATTAGGGTGATTCCACGATGGTTATCTTTGTTCAATGGGTCTTTATTACCCCCTTTGAAAAGTGGAATAAGTACTCCTGTTTTAAAGCCCCTTGGGATATACTCTAATTGTACAATGCACTTATACAAAATTGTCAAAACACTAATTAGCTTGGCTCCACCTAGTTTTAAATGTTCGGAGCATATATCATCCCATCCAGGAGATTTGTTGCTGGAAAGCTTGGTACATAAGTTTGATATTTCATGCTCGGTGATTGGTGTCTTAAAAGCCTTATCGTTCATGTCAGATGGCTCAGCATTTATTTTCTCAATCTCACTGTCTATGTATTGACTGAAATCTTTGTCAAAAAGGTCATTGTCATTAAATGCCACAAGTTTGGAAAAATAATTCTTCCATTCATCCTTAATGTCTGAGGGATTGGTCAGCAGTACACCATCATCACTCTTAATGTTACTTGTAGTTTGCTTAGTGCGTCTGCGGCTTTTAACTAAGGACCAGAAAAACGACATGGATATTTCTGAAGCACTATCTATTTCTTCCTGTAGCTTTAGTTGATGTTGGTATTCAGCACGTCTTAATTCTCTCTGAAATTCCCTCTTAGCTTGTTTATAATTTCGGCATACAACATTTTCAATATTTCTTGGTTTACCCGCCTTAACCCATTTGTTCCATGTCGACTTTTTCTCCTTAACAAGACGTTTCAGTGTTTCTGACCAGTATGGCTTCAAGTATTTTACAAAGCGTTTCTTGGGAAATGCATCGTTTGCCTTATTTTTAAGTAGCTGTGTCAATCTTTCAAAATACAATTCGATATTTAAGTCTGTAAGAGTACCTTCCTTACTTTGAATTTCATTATATAATTGTGTAAGCTCTGGTTCCAATGATAATTGATACACGTTCTTGCTATCATTTGTTACTTTAGTCCATGCTATCCTAGTGGGTCCTGTATTTACTATATTACTTGACTTGACTACACATATATTTTCTACTGATAATTCAATGCAAACTGGGAGGTGATCAGATGTGTTTATCAATTCATCATCCATCACATATATTTTGTTACAACAATTGAATAACCTTTCTGACACAATGCAATGGTCGACATATGATTTGCCAGTATAGTGCCTGTAAAATGTATATGTTGGCCCAGTGCATTTGTCAGTTAAATCAGCTACCCTTAGACTCTGTCGTATACACATTTGGTTAAGTGCAGTACCGTTACAAGATGGCGGATACGCGCCACGTACATTGTACATATTACCTATATCAGAATTCATATCACCTATTACACACACATCTCCTTCATTTTGCATCTGGATTACAAGTTCTTCCAATGTATCTAGCCATTCCCTAAAGTTAGCCTTTGCACACCCTTTATAAGGCAGGTATACACATAAAACAAACACCACCCTATTAGATAGACATAATTTGATTCCCATTATACGTTCCATTTTAACATTAGGCAACTTTTGCACAAAATTGCTCATAGACTTACGCCATAAAATAGAAATGCCTCCATTACCTATAGTGTATCCTTGATCAAGGGGATCTAGAGATTTGCTACAACTCATATCGCATATAAATTCATCATTTACATCTAATTGACTTTGCATTGAGCTATTCAACCAATGTTCACTTATACATACTACATGTACATCATTTTGATCAGTCAATTGCTTGAGGAACGGTTTTGACGAAAACAAGCCATTCGCGTTCCAGCCACAAATTCTGATATCATTTTTCCTAATACTCATAATTATTTATCATATCTGTGTGCCAGTCTCTATATTGCACACATTCATATCGCTTACTTGATTCGTATATGTCATCATGATCAAGATCGTCATCAAATCTCGGGGCATTATTATGGCCCCTACGTTTCACCCACTCTCTACATTTTATAGGCGCTGGCCACGTTTCTTCGAGTTGTGCACGAAGGGCATATGATATGGGCACAACTATTTTGCAGCCTACACTAAATTGTGACACTTTGTTATGTATTACATAACATTGCATAATGCGTATGTTCATTGATGAGGCATGTGTTATCACTTGGTGTTTAATATCACTATCACTTTCACCCTCATGTATTTCAATATTTTCTACATATAAGGTATATCCTTTCTCGTGGCTTACTCCACTAAGGCACCTTGTGGGTCCCTTGGATTTTTGTAGTTCCTTGCGAGGAGCTTTGTTGATGTGTTGCGGCTGTTTCCTTCGACGAACAACTTCCGCATAAGTCTCATTGTTGGTCGATGATTGTGTGGTCCCTATTACTCCAATCTGTCGTGGTGGTGTAGTCCCTTGCTCAATGGTGCGTTCCTTCGGGGGTTGGCTTAGCGCATCCACCTGTCGGAGATGTGCGCTCGGCTGTTTTTTACCAGGTGTACGGGATTCTGGTGCGGAAACATTTCGACCCCTGCCTCTACCCCTACCGATGGATGGGCTTGTGCATAGATCTCTCGGTAGTACTGTTTTGCTATTATTTACATTTGGAACATCAGCTGCTTTGCTAGAAAGTGGGTCAGCTTTGTTTGTTGTGGTGTTAGGACAAACATCAGCTGATTTGCTTGGAAGCTGGCCAGCTTGGTTTGTTTTGGTATTAAGGCAAACATCAGCTAATTTGCTTGAAAGCGGGGCAACTTGGTTTGTTTTGATTTCAGAACAAACATCAGCATTTGTGGTCTGGTCACTGGGTAGTTGACAAACTTGGAGATTATCGGTTGAAAAATTCGTACCTTTGGTAGGATTTCCTATTTGCTGAAGTTCCTTTGCTACGGACGAAGGCACACTCAGTAATCGAAGTCGGTCAATTTCTGTTATGAGCTCCCCGATCTGTTTGGCCTGCTGGTCAAGTTGACATTTTATGTCCGCAAACTGCTTGTTGTGCTGTTGTATTTCTTTGGTGAGCTCTACATTAGCCGCATTCAATATGCATACCTGGGCTAGCGCTTCGTTACCACTGCCACTGGTCGCACTGCCCCCAGATTCACTCACAGATGCACGTTGTGTGTCAGTGCTCCGCCCAAGCCCTTCAGGCATACGACTTGTGGGTGACAAAACGCTACGTGGGAAAAAGTCAGTAAGACCTCTAAGGTATACGTACATATCGTATATATCATTTGACATGCTAATAGTTTTCTTCTCACCCTTCCTCCGCTTGATGCTTATATCCTCGATCTGATCCTCCCCTCGTGCGGATAGGGGCCCATAACGGTCCTCACATACGGTATGGTATTATGGAGTAATTAATGAATTGGGCAGGTCCCCGGATGTTTATATGCAATGTGTACAAGAGCAGCTTTGGTAAAATAAAACCAATGGGAATGATGAATTAAGTATTAAGGGGAAAATATAGAGAAAATAAAGACATATGATATAAAGAAAAGGAAATTGTTAGTAGAAGAGGGGTGACAAATAAATCAGATATCAAATTTAATGTAATGTATAGAGCACTATTTAAGACAACTGTAAATCATAAGGTAAATAAATTCATATACAAAGTAATAAATGGTGCAATAAAAATTGAAAGAAAATTTTAAAAAACAAAAATTATCTGATTGAATGTGTAAAGTTTGTAAACAATGTTGAGGAATCAGAAGAACACCTTTTTAGAATGTAAAATCAATAATGAATGGGAAAATATAGAAATAACTAAATTTATTTGAAAGACATAAAATGCTTATTAAAAAAATGATAGAGATAAATGGTAAAAGTGCTATTATTAAACGGAAATATGGTTAAAAAGATGTCTAGAAATTTTTAATTAAGAAAATATATTTAGATTTTAAAATTATAATAGTATTACCTGATAAATCATAGACACCTTGTGGGTAACAGTATTTTTTGAATTGATTAAAAAATACCTAATCAATTTATCGTTATAACGTAGTTCAATTGGTTTTTGCATAGAAGCCCTGATTTTCAGTGGTTTTGGAACAATTCATACACGATGCCACCATGGACTTCCAATCACTTGGTAGCAATCAAATGCTCCTAATGTCACAAAATAGACTGGACGGGAAAAATGAATTTCAATATTCAATTCAATTCATTTCATAATTCTTATATTACAAACACCATTAAACCAGGCTGCTGGAAGCCAAGGTAAATATATCAAAGAAAACAATTAATATATTGTTATAATCTACTTCACAGAAATATTGTGAAGATTGAAACCACATTTGAAATTGGATGATTTTTAATGAGGTAAAATGATCGAGTCCCCATCTGGGGAAACAAAAACATAATTCTTGCATCAACCTATTTTACACATCTGATGTAGAACACTTGCACTTGGTGCAAGAGGTTAAAATTAGTCATGGTTGGCACCAAAAGAAGACACGCATAGTGTAAAGGTAATGCTTTTCTGAGAATGAGAGCTATTATGACATATAGAGGCAGACATATAAACATCCTTTTCATGAATTTCTTTACTTTGATATTGTAAAATATGTGAAAAGTGACGTCACAATCAAAAAACTTTCAAAATTTCTCCAATATTGAAGATAAGTCGCAAAATGGTATATCTTCTCCAGACTTATTAAATTCCATTTTTTGGTATGTAACACATGTATGATCTGTGTCTCATTTCATATTGTCCACCTTGTATATTACATGATTGATTATGTTTTAACTTACCATTTCCAGGCCAAGTACAATTATTAGCATTGGGAACATCTGAAAATAAGTGTGGCAATTAGCGAAGTTGTTATCAACAGAATGTTTATAGGTTTCCAATCGATAAAATATTTGGGTTTACTTCTCTTTTAAGACCTTACCTTCACTACAGTTTTTGCCTTGTTTGTTTGGTGGACAAATGCACTGATAACCACCGTTCCAGGGAATGGAAATACCAGTATTCAAATATGTTAATATTGGGGTTTTCTACTCTTTCAATTGCTTACCTTCACTGCAGTTTTTGCCTTGTTTGTTTGGTGGACAAATGCACTGATAACCACCGTTCCAGGGAATGGAAATACCTGTATTGCAAGGGGAATCTGCAAAACAAGTGCCGACCCTGTTAATCAATATTTGACAATTATAGCAGATAAATAAATGTTATACAATCCTAGTATTAGGGATGGGCCAAAAACAAAACCCAAGTTTAAAGATGAATTATTCATAAGATGTTACTTAACCCTAGAAGCTGTAAGGTAAAAAATAGTCTCACGAGCCCCTAAGGGGGGGGGGTCAAAAGGGCACCCCTTTGTTCAATTTTATCAGTGGAGCTAGGATGTTCAAACTTTCCCCACATATCCTTCTTTCAGTTATCTACGACTTGTGTTGGTGTTATAACTTTAGTAATCAACATTATAGCAACTTAATTTCTTGATCTCCATTCGTTTACATTTCAATGTATGATACTTTAATTTGCAATTTAACGCATGGTCTATTTCTGGTTACAGCATTACCTGAGGCTGCGGTCAAAGCGTGAACCACCAACACTAATACAACTGGATTTAAGCGCGCCATCTTTCGATCACACTTTCTCCTATGCCTTATCACAAATCTGGAAAAGCAATATAAGTTAGAGTAAGTATGTTTATTATCGTCTCCATAAGTTTTAAAAACATGGGTCTTCAAATGAAAGCGTGTTAAGCGCTGTAAAAGTGTTCTTTATATCTTCTTCCTCTTGTAAAGGAAGATAACAATAACTGGAATTGTAAATTGAACAAAGTGCATTTGAAGACTCAAGATTGAATTGACTCAGATATGTAATTAGCTGAATGAGTACCTGAGTACATGTGCAAGTAGCTGCGAAGCCAAGTAAGTACCTGAGCAAGTAGCTGAGTAAGTAGCTGACTTAACCCATGACTTCACAAAGGGTAACTATATTGATTTCTCGAAATATCAAAAGAATCGTAGAATCGCAACCTGATTGCAGATTCAGAATCTTGAGAAAATCCTAAAATGTTGATACCTCACACGTTGAGCTTTTTTGTTGGCCTACTTTTGAGACACTGATATCTCAAATATGGCGTGTACTTCATGAGATCAGCTACATGAAAAACCAATGTCGATGCCATACTTCAAAGCTACCCCCCTTAGGAACGCTATGCTTAAACAACATGATGTTTGTTTTGTAGTTTAGCTATCATATCTGTGTTCTCTTATATTTTGATACTTCTCTGCCATGTTATTTTCGGAAAAATTAACTTGGCTGAAACTCCCTAAATTACAAAAGGCCACAGCTTTGCTGCACATGATACATTACTATCTGAAATATACAAAAGTTAGAATAAATAGAAATGTTTCTATTTTTACATAAAGTGTTTCAATATGGCCATTTGATTGCTTATTTTTTAAATACAAAATAGTCACAAACATTTCTGTTTTGACTATATTTGAAAAGGTTTTGAAGCCAAAGCAGAGCACACGTTGGACCTTTTCTATTTTCTATTCAATACGCCTATTATTATGTTCAACTTTGACAATTCTCCATATTTTTGGAATGCTCAAAGCAGGACGCCGCATACTGTTTTTGGCATAAAAACTATAATTGATCAGGGCATGTTAATCAAAAGTATTTGAAAACCACAATTAAATCATGCTTATATTTATCAGATTGATGCTCAAGAATCTAGGCACGATTCTTGTCATTAAACCTAGATCGTCAGATTTTGGTGTGTGTTGCTTGGGCAGTTTGATTGCTTATGTTTACGTTCGAGTCCGATTCTGAAGTGCGATGATGGTAAATATTACAGATGGTAGATGGTAAATATAACATTGTTACAAATACAGATTCATATGTTTTATAGTGTTCGTTGGGATTTGCCACTCCATGGGGTTGCCGTTTTCTAGTTTGACATAGTTTTGAAGCCAAATCGCCGTGCTTTGAACTTTTTCATTCGATACGCCTATCATTATCTCGGTTGTTCAATTTTGACAATTTTTTACAAAATTCAAAATACATTTTGTCTTACAAAAATCGCTGCTTATGCTCCGGTTTCTTTGATAAATATTGATTAAAAAAATGATATAAACCAGATTTAATCAAACTATATTGATCAATAGACAAGAGTATTTGAAAACCACGTTTAAATCATTCTTATATTACATGTAATCAGACTGACGCTAAAGAATCTGGCCACGGTTTTGGATCTGCTTTGATGACATTAAACCTAGAATGTCAGATTTTGGTGCGTGTTGCTTGGGCAATTTGATTGCTTATGTTTACGTTCGAGTCATATTCTGAAGTTTTTCGTAAATTTCTGCCGTAAAAAAATATGATAGGACAACTACGGAAAATATACTATTGTATTAACGACACGTAAAAGTTAAGCATCGCTGTCCAAACTTGCTATAATCCCCATCCCGTAGGCCAAGTTCACCATTTTTCATAAAATCGTATGTTTTATTCTATATTTATGTAAACCAAACCACCACCGTGTAGAACTGAATCAGCCAATCAAATTACATGAAATAATAATTAATTGCGATTAAGGTGTATTTTAAATGCAATGCTCTTAATCAGATCATTTAAACAACCTCTATGTGTTTTGTGTAATGGGCTGATTTTCCCTATGCGTCACTGTATGAAGCTTTACATGTATGTCACTACGTCTTAAAAACCGCAAGAAAAATGACAATCATTTGACCAATAAGTCAACTTAGTTTTACTTAATATTCCATTTCTCAACACACATTTGTATGGTTTTATCTAACTATATTAAGCTTTCCATAACAAAAATATTTTATGATAGAAAACTAACATACTCGATCTACTGATAAATACAATGTTTACAATACTTACGTAAAGTCGAACGTATAAGCTGCCGCTTTCTGTCAACCGCAATGTAAATGTGACTAGATTCAATTTTTTTTATATCCAGTTTGGTGAATTCTCGAGATGAATTAAACCACAAGGTATAATTTAGTTAATAAACTTGCCAAATGAATATCTCTTCACCATCGAATTGGAAAATGTGCTATCGCCGAAATCACGACTCGGTGGCATGGTAACGCAATCCAAGGGTGCACCCTTGTACATTAATGTGCATTATTCCGTATGATTTTTATCTTCTAATCCAAATCCAATTCCTTGCCAAATTCAATGGAATCACTATGATGTTAATGATTAATGTGCGGTTAGAATATTTATGAATAAGTCTGCAAATTTTTTATAACACTAAGTCGCAAGCGGGTAGGGGTCATTTTCTAGAGTAGTAGAAACAAGGTTATCCCAACCTTTCTAATTTCTTTACGATTTGTCGAATGTAAACAAAGGAGGTTACTTCGCTAACACCTCAGTCACATTTGTCGTACGGAGGCCGTGCCTCGACCGCAAATCAATTGAATCAGTGAATTTCTGCGGCGAGCGTAGAAAAACTACGGGCCGAAGGGTCGCCGTAGAAATTATAACTCGGAGTTATAATATTTGTTCATTTCTGAAGTCCCAGTAGAAATCAACTGGTTCAACAAGATTGAATCATTATTTGTCAATGTTTCACGATCACTTTTCATTTGATATTACATCCTAGCACTACGAATAACATTTATAAATTGTCCTGATGTAAATAAAATGAAAAAAGTATTATTTTTCAACAGAAATTTAAAATTCACCGTGCAGCTTCCGTTGGAAATGTGATTGCAAAAGTATGAGAGCGCAGAAATTCTACGACGAGCGTAGAAAAGCTACTGGTCGCATAAATGATAGACCGCATGGCGGCCGTGGGAAATGTGACTGGGTGTCAAGTATGGTTTGCGTTTCAGTCAAACGCGAGTTTTATCATTCAATTACTCTACAGGTAGTATTCATAAGTATAGAAATCAATTGGCATCATTCCATTTCCTTAGTATTTCATTCACTATTTCACTCACTGTCCACTCATATAAATACCTTTGCATTTGTGAACAACGTTTATCTGTTGTGCGTTTTCCTGTGAAGTCAAGTGTCAACATGTTCGTGTAGTGTCGAGGTCATCTACCTTGTCATAACACGTGGCGTGACTTTGTACAATGTGTGGTCAACATTTGTGAAACATACTGAGGTATTTATTTAGTATATATTCATTACAATATTTCCCTTGTGTTTATTTATTGTAATTGCTAAATTGTACAAGGATAAGTTATATTGTACAAGGATAAGTTATATTGTTCAAGATAATTATAATCTTCTTGTATTCGGTGTTCACTTATATTGCGTATTATTCTTAGCATCCATTGGTTATCTGTACCAGTTTAGGGAACTAGTTGAAAGTATTATATTTTGTATATTCTAGAAACGTGTGCCTTAGATAGGTTTATTATCCATTTTTTATAGTTTTGGTGTAGTATGTAGCTGTCAACGAGAAATGTATCTGCGTATGTGCACAGACTGTCTCCTTGTATCGTCTCGTGCGTCTATAAACTGTGTCTGAGTTGTATCAGTGTAATATTGGACTAGTGTAAGATGTCTACCAACACGTCCAGCCTGTATCCTCACGTGGTGAACGTGATATTAGACTCTCGTTAATTCACGTGCAATGAATTATCTACTAAAACGTCTGTCTACGTACAGCATAAAACCAAGTAACTATTATCACATTCATAGACTCTTATCCAGTAACGTCGATGTGAGTATAAACCGACTCGAGTAAGAAGTCTACCAACACGTCCAGCCAGTATCTTCACGTGGTGAACGTGATATTAGACTCTCGATAGTTCACGTGTATTGTATCATCTACCATAACGTCCGTCTTCGTACAGCATAAGCCCAGTAACCTTCCACGTATCCAGTGTGCACGTTTTGCAGCATCAGCCGTCCAGTTTTATGTGTAGTTAGTATACCTTGTCTATTTTTGTAATTAATGTTTTGTGATTATAAATACAATATAGTAATTTGTTTAATCAAATCAGACACTTAAGTTCATTTATTAGTTTTATTGAACCTGACAACTTGACAACTCAAATCGACCAAGGACTGTACATCAGCGCAGCAACCAGACGCATTCGTTTGTTCGAAACGTCCAAGCCTCAACAGCGCACGATTCTGTATACCCTCAGCAAGATGCAGCGTAAAGTGAAACTTCTTAACTGGAAGGTAAAAATACAGCTGTACAGGGTGTCAAAAAACAACAGCACCCCCCTCTACAGCAAAAAGTCCTGAATGTTCCATATTGTGTCATACATCATTTGAAAGATAATTTAATTCTGGAGTTACTCCTCAGATTTCATTTAATAAAACTTTATATTAAAAAAGCTACATTGTTTTTAAGTTTGCTACTTTGGTACTTTATTTGCTGCTCTGTTACTGGTTAAAGGTCAAATCTTCAGAAAGTGGAATATGAAAGGATTAGCTCAGATTTCAACTGCACTGAACATATGGGTTCAGTTCTGAAAAACAGGGTAGAGGAACTGATGGACGAAGAGCCTCTTGAAAAAAGATACAGTGAGGATGTATTTCTGAAGAATTTGAGGAAAGTGCTTAGAGGATTATGCAATGCTACACCTTTATCTGAATTTTCATTGAAATCATATCCGTCCAGATAAGCTGCTGTTTGAGCAGCAACTGGCGGTCATACCAACTACTAAGAATCAGCTGTAAATCTGTAAAATTATATGATATAAAGCTGCAATTTCTCAGATAACTCCAGAATTAAATTGTCTTTAAAATGAGATATGACACACCATGTAATATTAAGTACTTTTTGCTGTAGAGGGGGGTGCCGTTGTTTTTTGACACCCTGTATACAAGGTTCTCAGATTTAAATTAAATGATTGTGATACAATAATTTAATAAATAGTTATATAACAAGCTACTTTATGGTGATACAATAAGCTAATTAATAATATTTGATATAAAGATACGGACGAGCCCCCATTGTCAAGTTGTCAGGTTCAATAAAACTAATAAATGAACTTAAGTGTCTGATTTGATTAAACAAATTACTATATTGTATTTATAATCACAAAACATTAATTACAAAAATAGACAAGGTATACTAATACTACACATAAAACTGGACGGCTGATGCTGCAAAACGTGCACACTGGATACGTGGAAGGTTACTGGGCTTATGCTGTACGAAGACGGACGTTATGGTAGATGATACAATACACGTGAACTATCGAGAGTCTAATATCACGTTCACCACGTGAAGATACTGGCTGGACGTGTTGGTAGACTTCTTACTCGAGTCGGTTTATACTCACATCGACGTTACTGGATAAGAGTCTATGAATGTGATAATAGTTACTTGGTTTTATGCTGTACGTAGACAGACGTTTTAGTAGATAATTCATTGCACGTGAATTAACGAGAGTCTAATATCACGTTCACCACGTGAGGATACAGGCTGGACGTGTTGGTAGACATCTTACACTAGTCCAATATTACACTGATACAACTCAGACACAGTTTATAGACGCACGAGACGATACAAGGAGACAGTCTGTGCACATACGCAGATACATTTCTCGTTGACAGCTACATACTACACCAAAACTATAAAAAATGGATAATAAACCTATCTAAGGCACACGTTTCTAGAATATACAAAATATAATACTTTCAACTAGTTCCCTAAACTGGTACAGATAACCAATGGATGCTAAGAATAATACGCAATATAAGTGAACACCGAATACAAGAAGATTATAATTATCTTGAACAATATAACTTATCCTTGTACAATATAACTTATCCTTGTACAATTTAGCAATTACAATAAATAAACACAAGGGAAATATTGTAATGAATATATACTAAATAAATACCTCAGTATGTTTCACAAATGTTGACCACACATTGTACAAAGTCACGCCACGTGTTATAACAAGGTAGATGACATCGACACTACACGAACATGTTGACACTTGACTTCACAGGAAAACGCACAACAGATAAACGTTGTTCACAAATGCAAAGGTATTTATATGAGTGGACAGTGAGTGAAATAGTGAATGAAATACTAAGGAAATGGAATGATGCCAATTGATTTCTATACTTATGAATACTACCTGTAGAGTAATTGAATGATAAAACTCGCGTTTGACTGAAACGCTAACCATACTTGACACTGGGGTGTTACACCCCAGTCACATTTCCTGCGGCCGCCGTGCGGTCTATCATTTCTGCGGCAAGTTGCTTTTCTACGCTCGCCGCAGAATTTCTACGCTCTCATACTTTTGCAGTCACATTTTCCACGACATAAATGGTGACGCAAGGTCACCGTACGGTCTCCCTGCGGAGAGCTTGTTTTTTTGCAGATACAAGGGCATATGCAATGTGTCTCTGCGGCAAACGTACGTTGACCGTTCTGCCTTTTGGCCTCTACAACAGCCGTACGCACTTTTAATAGAAACATTGATACTCATTTTGATTTCATTTACATCATATATTGTGAGTACAATTTATAAATGTTATTTATAGGTCTACATGTAGGATCTTATCTGAAATAAAAAGTGTTGAGTGAAATATGGACCAATAGTAATATAGTTAATCTTTTATATAGAGGTTGTTGTGGTATCAGTGACCTTAAATGTGGCCCCATATTATGACAACTGTAGTAAATGCCATTACATTTCACTCACCATGCCTCCAAAGAAGAGGCAACACGTATCAAAAGAAAGGAACAAAAAGAATGCCATCCTTGATGATTCGGGTGATGAAGATGATTTCTCTGTCACCCAGAAAATAGTAGAATTCTATGAGGGACATCCATATCTATTTGATCTCCGGCATGAGAACTATCGCAATAACAAACTAAAGGAGGCAAAGTTGGCCGAGTTGGCAACATATATTAAATGGAATGGTCAGTAGAATGAAAGCAGAATATCTACAGTAAAAAATTCAAAACAAATCAAAATGAACAAATCAAATTATCTAAATTGGAATGTTCTTGGCTCAGACATCTTTCAGAATAAATGTAATGTGTATTGTATTGTATCCTTCATTACCACATTATTTCTATGTGAGTACGTTACAATTTTCAATATTACATCAACAGGTTGCGTTTTTTATACATAACATAGCCTTGGCCTTTAAAATCATATTGAAATCATCATAATCTAGAGTACATTATCTTTTCCCATTTTAAAAAGGGCTAGTAGAGCTACCCTTTCAGCATCTAGAGAGCAGCTATAAGGTAATCCCGATCACGTTGCACTCGCCTCAGCTGCATTCTCAGATAACCCAACCCGAGTCTTTGAGGTACAACAAGCGCCATGTAACAGTATTGCCTTGTGTTCACAGCAAAGATATGATAGAAAACCTGACCTAAAAACGTGTTTCCTAAATTACATAATCAAAACCCTACGACAGACGCAAGTCAACCGCAAGCCCGATGTGCGGCCACCGTGCGACCTTTCTGCGGTCTGGCTACGGGCTGTTGATTTCTACGGCGACCTCAGAAATGAACAAAAATTATAACTCCGAGTTATAATTTCTACGCCTTCCCTGCGGCCTGTAAAAATCTGCATTCGCCGCACGGAGGCCGCAAGGCGAGCGTAGTTTTTCTACGCTCGCCGCAGAAATTCACCGATTTAATTGATCTGCGGTCGACCTGCGGCCGCCGTGCGACAAATGTGACTGGGGTGTTAGGCTTTCGAACCACACAATGCCAAGGAAAAATTGTTACCCCTGGAAAGTAAAATCAAATCCCTAGAGACAGGGCATTGATGTATAGCCCTCAGAAATAGCTATGGAACATTATCTCCATTTCTGCGGGGTAAGGTCACAGTTTTAACCAAAATGATCAGTAACGCCCCAGTCACATTTGTCGTACGGAGGCCGTGCGTCGACCGCAGATCAATTAAATCAGTAAATTACTGCGGCGAGCGTAGAAAAACTATGTTCGCATTGCGGTCTCCGTACGGTGTATCCAGTTTTTTACAGACCGCAGGGTCGCCGTAGAAATTATAACTCGGAGTTATAATATTTGTTCATTTCTGAGGTCCCCGTAGAAATCAACTGGCTCAACAAGATTGAATCATTTTCATGATCACTTCATTTGATATTACATCCTAGCACTATGAATAAGATTTATAAAGTGTCCTGATGTAAATAAAATGAAAAAAGTACTATTTATCAACAGAAATTTAAAATTCACCGTGCGGCTGCCGTGGGAAATGTGACTGCAAAAGTATGAGAGCACAGAAATTCTACGGCGAGCGTAGAAAATCTACTGGCCGCAGAAATGATAGACCACACGGCGGCCGTGGGAAATGTGACTGGGGTGTAACAATACTGTGAGCAACTAGGTGGACGTTTTGTCATGTTAATGTCTTGTTTTCGTCTCCCACCCTCTGAATTTTCAGGGTCGCCCCATGTGTTGGTTTAGCATGGACATTTTTTATCTGTGGGCAGGGGGATGGGCTCGAGTCCCCCCTGTAATCCCATGTAAAATCCCATGATTAATGTGTATGGTAAGATCTTATATTAATGTTTAATCTGTTGTTGAATCCAATATTGCAGAGAATATCATTCAAAATTAAAACATCTGACACGGAAAGAAAATGATACAGAGTCTGATACTAAAATATACCATTTATATTCCATTATCAGTTGATCTAATTTTAGTATCACCTCAGCTTTAACAGGTTATTTCGTGTCACGTAAAAGTGATTATAACATTCATTTTTGTTTAATACAAATTAAACTAGATTACACCGATGACAAAGAGATGATATTGTATTATACAGCTTTGGAATTTCAAAAGACTTAGTCTAGATTAGTCTAGACCTTAATTAAACAAACCTTCTTAAATATTTGAAAGTCAATTATTGAGATCAAGAAAATATTTGAGAATTTTGGTAATATTTGACAAATTGTAATATTTATATAGTTCAAGTGGCATAATTGCAAATTAAATATTATTATCAAAAAAAACTTAAATCTCTTAGGAAATAAAATTAAATAAAACAATATCGTGTATGATTACTGTCAACTTCGGCAGATATGATATATGAACAAAATGTCAACCTGCTTTCCTCCCGTTTCAAGGAAAAATAACCAAATTGGTCTTTGAATAAGTATATATGTAAATATATTTCCGCTGTAAAAATCGAACAACTATGTCAAAAGAACTAAAATAAGAAATCTGATTAGATACTCCGTCCTTTTTTTATGAAACCTCCAAATATGTTAAACACTTTTACACGACTGGAAACTTATATCCTGTAGAAGAGAAACAATTGGCTTTAACAGCGGATCAGTCTGTCTGATTACAAATTATGTTGTTTGTAATTAAGGGATAATATTTGATTGAAAATGGTGACTCTGAGAACAATGGACACCCCTTAATTAACATACATTTCAGGCCAGTAGCCTGCTTTTGCGAGAGGGGTGGGGGTCAGGGGTTTGGTGGGTTCGAACGAACCTCCGGTGAGAATTTCCAAATAAATTGTTTTATTGTGCAAACATTCGTAGCTTTAACTAGAAACATTATAAATCTAATGTCCAATTTGAATTTATATGACCAGTAAATAACTCGACTCTCTCCAAAGGTTTAACAATCTTGGGCACAGAATGAGATCGTCTAATTTTAGGGAGATCCCGGAGCATGACATTTTGTAAAGGAATATAAATATATTCGTACAATTTATTTTCAACTTGGAAGCTGCTTTATCTTGGACAAATTAAACCACTTCGGGCAATAGCTAAATCAAGCAATAGTTTGTAGGAATTTTGTTTCCAGGAATAATAGGATCGTTTTTTGGAATACATTTTTTTGCAACAACGGCCTTCTAAAAATACAGTCTTATTACTGTTGAACAGTCGTTCTTCCAAAGGGGACATGCCATTAAGAGGCCATTCTCTGACTTAGTCATTTTTCAAAAGTGTGAAAATAAAAAACCTCATGAAAATGTCTTAAAATATTCTGAATAACAAGTTGAATATATATACTTAATGATGGCACAAGCAAAAGTTTGCAAAATTAAAATGAAATGGTGGGTTTTGACAGATGCAAAATATGGTAGATAATTGTGATAAAGAAATAAAGGTTTTTGCAGTAACAAAACAGCCGGACGGCCACTCAAAATGTATATGGAGGAGCCCACAAGATACATTTTTCTCAATTGAAATGACTATTTCTGTTTTAGCTTCAGAGGATAGGAGGTACATGAACATGCTAAGTTTACCTAGATCACAAGTCTTACCACAAATAAAGTATATAGGAATGGAGTTAATATGTGTGAGAACCTTAAACTTCCCATTTTATTGGGGATGGGACTTGTGACTCATGTGTATTTTTAACTTCGTCACATGTGTATGGATCTAAAATTGTGGCAGCCATTTTGGATTTTTCATATGTGGACATGGGTTTGGTTGTGCTGAATTTGTTTGAAAATAACATTTCTTGTATACCTTCGATACGTGAGATTAAATTACAGATAGGTATGCTTGACATTTAATGTAGTAAACAGTTATACAATTCATTCTTACATAATAAGTGAGTCCAGACAAAAAGTTATTATTGTGTTAGTTTAACTTGGCTTATATGACACTCATTGGCCTTGGTTTCAAAATGATTGGTAGACAGTATCCCGTGGTGCCCAGTTGCTAGATTGTCCTTGAATACCTTACAAGTGTTAAATGGAGCGAGCTAATTTGTAAACTGGCTTTAACTTGGAGCCAGTTTTGAAAAATGAACGGTGCGTTTTTATTAAACAGAAATACATGTACAATGCATAATCTGTTTCTGTTCTGAATTGATGAACGTGATCCAATTCATCGATATTCATGCTTTCAATTCAATTGCATTATTTAGTCTCAGATGTAGCATGTGACGCTTTTCATCGATGTTTATGAATTTTAATGCAATTTATAATTATAGTTTTGGAATGAAATGAAATATTGCAGACAATTCAAATATGTTGAGATTTTAGGTATATAATCAAAAAAATTCAAGTATATTTTGCTTAACTGTTGTTTCCAAAGCTAGCTTTCAAGCTGCTTTTATATAGATTTAATATGACAAGGAAAATTGAAATTTTGTTTAAAAGATTTAGTGCTGGTCTGATTCTCAAAGCACATCTATCTGTTCATAACTTTGTGACAGTAAATGACCCATTTTGTATATGTAGTGCTAAACAGCAAACAGCACATCACTTTTTCGAACTGCCCTCTGCTGCAGCAAGAACGATGCACTCTCCTTGCAGGACTAAAAACCTTAGGATTTCTCAACTGTTTGCAGAACGTAATCATCTCTAAAAAAATTATTTGGAGACAGAAATCTTACAGTAATGGAGCATGAACAAATTATTTAAATAGTTAGCCATTACATCTGTTTAGCTCTTGATATTTTAGATTAAACGATCCCCCCTGAGGCCTCCAACATTTCTCACTATCTATACTATGGACCTAATCTATTGTATTTCCATTATTTCCAGTTTGATATGTTTTGTATATTGCTGACAATGTTGAAAACGTACACAATAATATTGTTTGATGAAGCGAGATGAAACAGCAAGCCAAAAGATATGAAATATTTGGCACTTACAACAGTAATGTCAATGTGTAGACACATATAACATTTAAAAGTGTATGTAATATATGTGGTACCATGCCAGGTATGCCCTAGTATTTTAAACATGACAACAGTGATATGAAACGAATGAATAATGGAAAAGGAGCTGACAAGTATCTTAAAGAATGTAAATAAATAATACAAGATATTGAAAATCCCTCAAACATCTTGCAACAGCCTGATGACAAAATCAATAGTATGATAAATAAAATAGAGCCAAATGATAACTTCAATGGACACCTTGTGACGTTTGGCCACATAAAGATGAGTTTGGAGCTAGCAATTGGCATGAATCTAAAT